AGAGCAATACAATAAAGCTTTTATTTCTTTATAAAATGGAAAGTTCTTCCATGGCCAACTTTTCTTTCCATGCTTTCCGAGCTTCTACGGACAGAGAATTATTGCGTCAGTTATGTCGAACATGCCGCAATTAAAGCAGGCTATTTTCAAACTGTAATGTAAGTGCTTTGGGATCAAGCGCCAAACCATCGAGTTCAAGCTTTCATTAACATTCTGAGTATAATAATAATACCTTCCTGATTACCATATTACGACTACGGGAAGTAGGACTTTTCAAGGGAGAGGAAACCGGAGGAAGTGCAGCGCTCTGGAGGGAGGCGTTGATAAACACACCTATTGGAATGCAGCACGGACTACATACCGGCTAAATTCATATTTTCAAGGAAATACCTCACCCATTGTGGTTCCACAGAAGTAGATGGAAATAACACCGTTAAAACCTACACTGATGGTTCTTGTAGATGGACTGGTGTAGGAGCGAGAGTCTTTTGTAATGATTTACGGCTCCATCTCCTTATACCACTTGGAGAAGGTATCACCGTCTTGCAGGCGGAATTAGTCGCTATAAAACTTGCTGTTTACTATATTGTCAGCTCCAATTTAAGTGGTAAAACCTTTACAATCTTTACCGATAGTATACAATCTGATTTAGCTCTAAGCAGGGATAAATTTACCTTTGCGCTGATTATGGATTGTCATTTGGTGCTTGAGGAGGCGGAAATACTAAACAGTATCACACTGCGGTGGATTAAGGGACATTCGAGTCACTCGGGAAATAAGCCCGCCTTTATTTACTTCACTTATTTAAAACACTAAAACTGGTCAACATTCACCACCGTTAGTTTATCTATATTAAATTTTTAAAAACTAAAGACTAATCTTCTGGTCACCCATTGGTTATCACGTGTCACAATTTAGATTGCACTACCGCACCTTACTCTACTTTCTCACTATTCACCACTGTCACTCTCTAGATAAGTTCAAATGGCTTAGTCCTTTTTAATCTTCTTTGGTGTTTTTCATTTTCAAAAAGATGAGACACACTCGGATTAATGTGGTTATTAATTCTAGATTCATGCTTTTGTGCAAAGTTTGAACAATGATATATTTGCTCCTAACATACCATGGGGCATTTACAATGGTTCTCAAGACTTTATTTTGCAATCTTTGAATGCTTTCAATATGGCATTTTTTGGAAAACACCACAGTTGTATCCCGAAGAAAATGCTTGTATATTAGTATTTTATTGTGTATGGATAGCTTTGATTGTCTTCCAATTAACAAGCTATATGCTTGTTTCTTATTCGCAGTTCTTCCAGTTTTTTCTTTATATGTACTCACCAGGTGAGTTTTTTATATAGATGTATACTGAGATATTTTGTTGAATCCGCATATGGGATAATGTTATTATTGATTGTAATTGATAGCACCAATTACAATCAACTAATTTTTTGTTTGTAAAATTAATATAAAGGTACTTGCCTTTATTAATTTTAATTTTCCATTTTCTCGTCCAACTAGACAACATATCAACACCCTTTTGCAATTTGTTTGTGACCTCTACTTACAATATTATCACCCATACCATTGTCTTCTGGTAAGTCATTTGTGTATAACAGGTACAGAATTGTACCTTGCGGAACACCAGCTTTTATCTCGTTTAAATCAGTAAATTCGTTTTCATATTTAACTGAAAATAATCGGTCTGTTATATAAGATTCTAGGACATCTATATACTGTTTTAGCAATAATTTACTAATTTTACATATTAGGCCTTTATGCCATACTTTATCGAATGCTTGGTTAAATATAGCAGAGAAAATTTTTCTTCCTTCGAGACTTTTTTCTATGAGATCAGATATTCTATGTAAATGATCAATTGTACATGTATTTCTCTATATCAGAATTGATACTCCGGAATAAGTTGGTTTTGTTCTATTAATGGATTACTGGGAGCAACGAGATTCTTTGGCTTAGATATTATAATTCTCTCTGCAATTTTCCACATATTAGGTACGTGTCGTAAACAAAACGTTGCGTTTATTAAATATGTTTATTTTATGATATCTTTTCTGATGAGGTTTTTTAAGATTTCTTCTGTAATCAAGTTAAAACCAGGTGGTTTCTTTGAATTTACATTCTTCTTAATTTCTTTAGAAACTTCATTTGGCGTCATATGTTGTATACGTTCATTAGGATTAATATGCGTTCTGAATGTAATTTTATGAACGTATAGCTCCAAACATTTGATTAGCAAGTTATCTTCAGATAGATCTTCATAAATTGCCAATACATGGTTTTATACAGTTAGATGGAGTGGTAGAAGATACTTCACTAAATGATCTGCTCCGGTAAATTTAACGAGGAATGCACTCCAGGAAAAGCGGCTATTACATCGAAATATATAATATATATTACAATATCTCTTTAATATTTTAGTATCGCATTTACTTACCCAAATATATTTTCACCCTAAAACGATCTTGAGATACACAAAAACTCTAAACTGCGTTTTGGAATATTGCAACCACTAACTTAAGGTTTACTTTTACACCGGAAGTACTTACAATTTCGATTTAATATTTTACTCTTACATTTATTTACCAAATATATATACCCCAAAAAATGATCTAGGGTTGCACAAGAACTCAAAATTGCGGTATATTGAATGCACTAACTTAAAGTTTTGACTTTGGGAAGCCTGGAATAATACGAGAAAGTATAAACCACTCTAGTTAATTTGAAGTATAATAATGTTGATGAATGCCTGTTTCAGTTGGTCACAACATTATTTCCTATTTGAGTGTAGATGAATCTATGGCAAAATCCTGAAGATACTTATCATTGAAACACAATACTGTACCTTAGGGAATTGTACGATGGAATTCTGCGACTGGTTAAGTATATAATTTCAACAAGAAAGATCTTGTATGCAATAAAGAATATACACTCGGAGAACGTGTAGTAAAGAAGCTTCTTCAATTTATCCCGCCTAATGCAGACTTATTCGTATGCTTGTTAGAATTTTTACTTCCGTCAAGAGAATATATAACTTAGCATTCGCCTCTGTTGGTATTTGCATAAGAACATGAGATTAGGAAATTGTTGCTATTTCATCAGGTGTCACTGCCTAATCATGTCATTTGATCATATCCTATAGATAATAAAAAGTAAAATAATTCAACAATATAATCACATATTATGAGATATATCTCATACATATAAAAGTATGAAGTAATTCATTTATATCAAATAATATCCAGAGAATTAAAGTTAACAACTTTTAATCGACACTTTTTAATTGTAATAAAAATCAAATATGTTTGATAAACTATAATATCTTAAGTTTCAAAATATTTAGTTTATTAAATTCCATTATTATCAATTTAGAAACTAGATATGTAAATAAAAATAAATTTTAAAAGAAACATTAATAAAAGTAAAAGAAAAAAAAGTACGTAAACTTATTTTTAGATTTCTTTATCACACATTAGTCATGTAGAGATTTTATTATCTTCAAATCTACAAAATATTGCTTAATTAGTTCCACTTGTATTATTGACATTATGTGCGATCAAATCGAACATATTTATCAATTTACAACCCGTTTCATAATATTTTCATAAAAGTAATTGAACTTAGAAACGAAATTAACAATCTAAATGTTAATACACGTCACCTGTTATTTAAAAAATTTATTACAAACCATTAATTATTGCTTAATAAGTTGTGTATTAAAAATTGTATTTACGATGGAATTAATACATGAAATAACACAAGATAATTTAAACTGTCATAATTAGTAAATTGTAATTAAACAATATAAATAAAAGTTATTTTGAACGGGCTTAAATTTAATTCGAAAAGATTAATTCGCTTAACGTGATTGCGGTCAGCGTACACGCCAAAACTAAAAGTCAAAAATCAACAGGTTGCAGCGAAAAACGAGAGGGAAATTGTTAAACAAATACGAAGAGGGGGCCCCATAACGCGTAGCGTCGACTACTACAACTATAGTAGTACACCACGTATATGGGCGCCCCAATAAAGAAAATCGATCGAAAACGCCGCTAGAACTGCCGCTTAACGACCAACCAACCGACAATTTAAAAGAGTCATATTCAGATAGATTTTTTTTGGACGACTATGAAGAAAATAAAGTGTGTAAAGTGCTAAAGTAAACGACTCGTCGTGGGAGAGACGATTCGACGCTATTAATAGGCAGAGAAAAACAGGAAATATGCACGAATACCTTCTTCTTATACGAAAATCGAAGCGATAAACAAAAGAGAAGCCAATAATTTGAGATCATTTGTTTTAGCGTAAACAAATGAGTATCAAGTTATGACTAATAAAACAAAACAATATTTGTATATTGAATAGGTAGAAGTCGATTTTATGGTATAATTTATAAAGAAAGCGAGAGTTTTTTTTGTTTTATTCTTTTTTCTTGTATGATTAAAACATGAATGAGTAATTATAATGAATAGTAACTTACGTGTGGTTGTTGAATGTTGGGTAATTCCAAAGTAGTACGAACGAAGACACTCTCATCACAACAGAAAAAAAAACGCAACACACGGTAAACTGGTATATAATAGATATTTGGATAAAGATATTATTATTTGGTGTAAACGTGGTTGAGTTTGACGCGTCGTAGTCGCGTGGTGCACGTGTACGGTTAGCGGTTTGATTATTTCGCGTTTTTCCGGTAATTTTTTTCGCGAATTTCTCCGTAGAGAATTTTCGTTTGAGGCGGCGGGCGCTTTACCGACACAAGATGGCCGGACCTAGGCTTGGTGTCAGTCCGATTGCTTGCCAACCCCCCTCCCGCCGTGCACGGAACCCCCCCGAAACGGTCCGCGGCAACGGCGGCGGGCAGAGAGGTTCCCATTCTCGCTGATCTGCCCCTCTCCGTCGCGCAACGTACATACACATCGTCCGCGTCGCCGTCGTCGTCGTCGTCGTCGTCGCCGCCGTTGTTGCCGGCGTCGCTCGTCCGTCGTTCGTTTCGTACGCGAACGTGCGGTTACATCGCAGTTAGATGCACACTGGAAAAATATCTCTCGTGCGCCGCACTCTCTACATCCGATCGACAATCGCGACTCGCGGATTTTTTTTCCTTTTTTTATTCCATTTTCGTTATTCGTTTTCGTTATTTCGCTCTATAGAGAGCGGCGGCGGCGGCGGCGCATGCTAACATAAAAAAAAACAAAACAAAGGAAAAAAAAACAAAACACAACAAAACAAAACAATCGTCCAACTGACTAAAAAGTCGTTTATCTTTTGTTTATTGCAAACTTAAACAAACGTTTTTTTTTTAATTTCATCGCAGTCATCAGTTTCTAAAAGGGATATCGTGGATTCATCTACAGATAATTATTAACAAAAAAGAAAAGAAAACCTAAGAAGATCCAGTAAATGTAGTAAGTGTTTGTATACTTATTAATACTTTAATTTTTCTTCACTTTGTTTTTATCTCCTATCTATTTATTTAGTGGCGCCTCGTATATTTTACGTAAAATACTAAACTATAAATAAGGACATTGACAAATACGAATCGGGGAATTAATTTGCGTTCGTTATGGAGGGGGAAAATACAGAGCCGTATTCTGATGAAATTGGGGTCGTTTCATGCGATCTCTATTTTTAGCTACTTATCGACGAAACAATTACTGAAACGACTTTCTTTTGTAGTGAACTTATATCAACGCGTTTCTGTAATAAATTTAATTAATATTTGCAACTCATTTTAGCTTTTTGTTGTGTCCATTTGAGTATAGCAGGACTCAAGCAGCTAATCATAATTCATAATATACAGCTCTAAGTATTATTCGTGATGCTTGTGGCAGCCGACGTCTTCGAAGTCGGTCGAGATTAATTGTTTCGAGTACCACAAACCCAACCCAAGTATCACAAATACCAACACCATACCAAATCCCGTGAGACCTACAGTAACGGACAAAAATATACTTACATCATTAAATAAAGACGTTTTTGTAAAACATAATAAGATAATAGAAAATTCAACAAACAATGCAAAAACTAACACGACAAGAGTCTACATACAATATACAATGCACTTGAGTTAAAGAAATCAAGTAGGAGTTGCATAAAGTAGCTGGCATTACATTTTCTTTTTTCTTAATTCAGTAGGGATTATGGATCTAGTTATTAGTATTTATTTAGGTTGTGTTTTGTCACTGTGCTGCAAAATGTCATCGCAAAATTACAATGAGACTGACTCTAGCAAAGTTTGTACAAGCCGGCCAAAGAAAAGATATTATCTCCATATTAAAAAAAGTTAAGTTGTATTAAAAAAGTTAATTTAGAAATAGTTCTACGCTATAATGGATATTTCAGCAGGACACCCCGAGGAAAACCGCTGATTTCAGAAAAGAATTGCCGTCGTCGACAACAATTTGCTCAATCTCATGTCGACAAGGGAATGGATTGCTGGTCCAGAGTTTTGTTTACTGACGAATCGAAGTACAACCATTTTGGAAGTGATTTTCGGGCAAAAATTGCCGAAAAAAAAGCCATCTGTGGAAAATTTGGCCGTCGAGGATCGCTGGATATTCCAGCAAAGCAATGACCTCTCAAGTATACTGCAAACCTTATCAAACATTGGTTGCTATATTATGCACCCAGGTAGTTGAATACACCTCCTCAGCGTCCCGTTTTAAATCCAATCGAGCATGTTTTGGAGCTTTTGGAACGTAAGATCCGGCAGCGCAAAATCATAGATGCGAAAACAGTGAAATCTGCGTTAGTCGAATCTTGCTTTGAAATAACAGCAGAAGAGACAACAAACTTAGTTGCTTCAATGCCACGACCGACACCTGCGTGGTGTTATAGAAGCTCATGGAGGCCTAACGAAATATTGAGTTTTAAAAACTGTCGTTACATGGACCTAATAATTTATTTTTAGTTAAAAACTACTGTGTATATAAACTTTTAACCTATTAATTTTTGTATTATTTGTTGAACTTGTAATATGTAGCTGTTGAACAATTTGTGTTTTCTTCTTTTTTGTGAATTAGTAAATATCTCTAATCGCACTGTAATACTAATTTTCTGTTATCTTATTACGTTGTACAAAAACCTCATAATTCAATGCTGTATGTAGACTTTTATCCGCCACTGATGCTTACCTTGCTTGAAATGGGTGGAAAAAATAATTTCTTTCGATTTCGAAGATGTCTTTGAAGTCGGCCGCCATAAGTATTGTTCGTAATACTTGGGGCAAGAACCGTCTTCGAAGTCGGACGAAATTAATTCTTTCGAGTATCACAAACACCAAGACCATAAAGCTTGCAAAAGACTAAATACTGCTGATAGAGAACTTTGGCCAGTATAATTCCAGACTTTTTATAATATCATAATTCATAACATTTTTGTCATTGGCGTTATGGTATAATATTACGTNTTTCCCTATCACTTGTTACTGCTAGCATCAATGTGATGCGCAATTTTTCGCAACCTTTCGTTTATAAAGAAATTTCCCACACACCTCTTCTTTCCAGTGTGTAATTGGATGGCATATCCAGATATACTACCGTTTTGTTGACATTTACAGTTTGAGACAAATTGAAATTTTCTTGAGAATCATTAGGAGCTTTTGGGAAATTGTAGTTCTGCGCCTCAACGATAACACCATTCGGCGCATAAATCCTACAGTCCAACCTTAACTAGTATTAAAAATTTTTTAGTCCCTTCTTTCGTTTTTCTTGAGAGAACTAGAAAACTGCCTCGTCAATTTCATGAAATCGTCTCTTCTTTGGCCCGGTAAATTTTTTGCACAATGCCTCACAGTCTGCAATAGCTACCTGGTCTTTCAACGGTATTTATTTTCAACGGCAAATTTCCTGGATATATACCCGGAGGTATTTACCCAAGATGGGTATTTAGAGGTATTTATAAAATTTAATTCAGATTGAGTTGATGGCAGTTTTGCAAGCACTTCAAGAAAGCAGAGTCGATTATTGATATACCAAACTTATTTATAACATCTACAAGAATGCTTCAATGACGGTAAAATTGCATGAAAGTACTGAAGAGAGTAGAAGTAGTAAAGTACTGATTGTGAGTAAAACAAGGCGATACACTGTTGAACCCAAATTGTTCATCACAGTTCTCAGAGTGCATTTAAACAATTGGATTCGACCGAAAAATGCATAAACAGTGATTGCAAATGCTTAAGTAATTTGCGCTACGCGGACGATATAGTTCTTATATCGGATAGCCTTGGAGAGATTAAACTAATGCTGAACGACTTAAAGAAATACTTAAAGACTTAAATTGATCGATCCTGGGTCTAACTCTGAGGGACTACATACGAAATTAAGACCTATGAAGAAGAACTGGCGTAAATGATATTATTAACATTGTGGCAAAGCTTAAGTGGAACTGGGCAAATGGACAAAATGGTTGCTTGATTGGAGACCGCGAGCGAACAGGCGAAATAGACGTCAAAAGAATGACTAACAATTGGATTCAGACAGCACAGAATAGAATCGAATGGAACAGAATAGGGAAGGTCTATGTCCAACAATGGACGCAGAGGGCTGCTTGATGATAATAATCATAATAACTTGATCTAATCTAAATTACGACAGATTCATCTAATGATAATACGTCTTTAATTGTTGACAATTCCTCATCATCTTCCTCTTCATTTTTTTTGAAATCTTATATATTTTTACTGATATCACTTTTATACCCACTGTTTAGGTATTTACCCTGGGCCGGGGTAAATACCCGGATAAATATCCATTTTAGAAATACCTAGCCGTCAGGTATTTACCCAGCGCCCATCACTGCATACAATGCACTTGAGTTAAAGAAATCAAGTAGGAGTTGCATAAAGTAGCTGGCATTACATTTTCTTTTTTCTTAATTCAGTAGGGATTATGGATCTATTTATTAGTATTTATTTAGGTTGTGTTTTGTCACTGTGCTGCAAAATGTCATCGCAAAATTACAATGAGACTGACTCTAGCAAAGTTTGTACAAGCCGGCCAAAGAAAAGATATTATCTCCATATTAAAAAAAGTTAAGTTGTATTAAAAAAGTTAATTTAGAAATAGTTCTACGCTATAATGGATATTTCAGCAGGACACCCCGAGGAAAACCGCTGATTTCAGAAAAGAATTGCCGTCGTCGACAACAATTTGCTCAATCTCATGTCGACAAGGGAATGGATTGCTGGTCCAGAGTTTTGTTTACTGACGAATCGAAGTACAACCATTTTGGAAGTGATTTTCGGGCAAAAATTGCCGAAAAAAAAGCCATCTGTGGAAAATTTGGCCGTCGAGGATCGCTGGATATTCCAGCAAAGCAATGACCCCAAGTATACTGCAAACCTTATCAAACATTGGTTGCTATATTATGCACCCAGGTAGTTGAATACATCTCCTCAGCGTCCCGATTTAAATTCAATCGAGCATGTTTTGGAGCTTTAGGAACGTAAGAACGCAAAATCACAGATGCGAAAACACTGAAATCTGCGTTAGTCGAATCTTGGGCTGAAATAACAGCAGAAGAGACAACAAACTTAGTTGCTTCAATGCCACGACCGACACCTGCTTGCTGTTATAGAAGCTCATGGAAGCCTAACGAAATATTGAGTTTTAAAAACTGTCGTTACATGGACCTAATAATTTATTTTTAGTTAAAAACTACTGTGTATATAAACTTTTAACCTATTAATTTTTGTATTATTTATTGAATTTGTAATATGTAGCTGTTGAGCAATTTCTGTTTTCGCACTGTAATACTAATTTTCTGTTATCTTATTACGTTGTACAAAAACCTCATAATTTAATGCTGTATGTAGACTTTTATCCGCCACTGATGCTTACCTTGCTTGAAATGGGTGGAAAAAATAATTTCTTCCGATTTCGAAGATCTCGGCTGCGTATTGTTCGCGATACTTGGGGCGGCAGACGTCTTTGAAGTCGGCCGCCATAAGTATTGTTCGTAATACTTGGGGCAAGAACCGTCTTCGAAGTCACGAAATTAATTCTTTCAAGTATCACAAACACCAAGACCATAAAGCTTGCAAAAGACTAAATACTGCTGATAGAGAACTTTGGCCAGTATAATTCCAGACTTTTTATAATATCATAATTCGTAACATTTTTGTCATTGGCGTTATGGTATAATATTACGTTAAGTTGAATCACGGTTGTATAACATTTAGTTCATTAAATATAGAAATTCATTTTAGTGCTTTTTGTTGTATCCATTTGAGTGACATAAGACTCAAACAGCTAATCGATTTCCAACAGACCAAGAGTTTGACATTATCTATCAATAGTTTTGAAAACTTGTAGTTCTCAAATGGTGTACTATTTGGTGTACAACCCAACACACTCCATTGCAACGTTTAATTGCACTTGATATTTGCTCCCCTAAAACGATT